CCAGCAATAGTTGTTTCACACTGAGGAGGCCAAGAATCCAGTAGTGCAGAGCATAAAGCTGAGTGTTTCAGCAGTTGCTGGAGCAGAAGGCCTGGAGGGTTCTTGGAGAGCTGCTGATCTTAGTCTGCGTTGGAATCCAGGAGGAACTGGCTCTAACGTGGGCAAAGGAATGCCATAGCAACAGAACAGAGCAGAGGTCCTCAACCTTCCTAATGCTGTGGCCCTTTACCACAGTTTCTCATGTTATGGTGACTCCAGGCAGAAACCTGTTTCTATCCCTGATTCCCAACTGTAATTTTGCTACTGTTATGAATTGTGCTGGAAATACCCGTGGTTTTCAGTGGCTCTCAGGTGACTCCTGTGAAAGGTCCTTCCACTCCAGGGTCGCAGCCCAGGATAGATGAGCTTGTCTGCGAGTGAGGACAGGCAGACCAAAGCCGCTTTCTTTCCCTTGTCCTCTTCTCCGGCTTTAGGGCGGTGGTTCGTCTTCACAGGACTGCAGCTGCTGCTGGCGTTTACCCCGCTCCAGATGCTCCAGATGCAGTCGACTGAAACAAGATTCCTTGCACTGCCTTAGCAGAATCCTAGACTTTCCCCTCCATATGAACACTTTGGTTTTGTGTCGTTGTCATGAATACACTTTTTGGGGTAATGTCTCCCTTTTCTCCTTGTTAGGTGTGTTCTGCACCTATATGTCACTGTTAAGATACTGACTGGACTGAGCATTCGCGCTTAGTCTGTAAAACACTGCAGACAGCTTTAGAAAGGTCATCAAGTAACAGATTCTTCTTCTTCCTTGTGCCAAGAGGGAGCTCTACAACAGCTGAAAGTGAATTCTTTTGAAGTGTTTTTCCTTTCTAGATCTTGTGCATACATCATATTATCTTATTTTTGTGTCTGTGATACTAAAAATAGGTGGCTTTTTCATTCCCTCTGTCCCTGATATTAATTGCTTGCTGTGTTTCTAGGTCAGGGTGTACTCTGTGAGCATTTATCATTACACGTGAATCACTGGAAGCAGTGCTGTCCTGTCTGGGTGGTGATTATTTAGAAATCTTAGAGCAGGCACCGCACTCTGGCATCTTCATTAGGAGTACGTACCTCCCTTCTTCTGTTCTGTACTTCTAGTGGCTCCCGAGAAGTGCGCATTGCAGGAGACCCCTGCCCATGCCAGAGCTTACCTGTAGGAGGAGAGCCTTACTGTGGAGCACGCCTGTTTAGTTTTGGGGCCTGTTGAAAGATTACAGATGCTCAGACTAGGGCATTAGAAGTCCAGGCTTTTGCACTACACAGGCTGCGCCCATGAGTCCTCATGTCGCCCAGGCGAGGCTGAGAACACCCACCCTTTCTGAGGTCATTTCCACTGCTCCGACTCCGCTCTGGACTGAACGTCAGCTTTTATTTGCCTTTGCTGGTGATCTGAATTCTTTGAAGTACGTTGTTGTCAAGGAAATTTATTTAAGTTAGATGTTTTAGATAGTAAGCTATTTTGTAAGGAAATTATGGAAATGGAATCTCATACAAAACACGTAATTTGGAAAACACAAGTGCAAAAAATGTAAATGATAGGCTTTCTAATTTTCCCTTGGTGTGAGTGTGCGTGTGCGCACCATGATCTTTGATCTCTAGGATATCGATCCTTGAATTGCAAACTTCCTAACTGTCGGTGGGCCTACTTTCTATACTCCTAATAAATTATCTGGGTCTCTTCTCTTTCTTGGTCTTTCCAGTGACTTCTTCCCGTCTTATACTCTATGTTACATGGCAGAGACCCCTGCCTCATTGTCCTTGCTGTCCCTATATGGCATTGGCCAACATCTGTTGTTCTAAGCAGCCTTCCACCCAGGGCTGTCACACTTCAGCTGTCTCTTCTTGCTACTTAGAAATCTTGCAGTCAGTTGCTTAATGGCCCCTTATGTTTTGAGTAGCACTTTTCACTTTTCAGCCAGCGTCTCCCCTCCACCCTTGCTCCTGTGCCCTCCTGCCATGCTTCCTCCCTCCTTGACCGTCACATCTTCACTTGTCACAGACTTTTTTCAGTCTTGCTTTTCCCTGTTTCAGAGGAAAAGCTGTCCCACTTCTTTCCAAAATGAACTTTCCAATTTCTAAATATATCCACTCCTGCCTGCTCTGAGACCTTTATTTAGTCATTTGTCTCTGTCTCTTTCATCATTTCAGAGCTGCTTTCCTATCAATTCCTCTTCTGCTTACAAATTTGTCTGTGTTTTCCATGTCAAAAACTCAAATTCTGTCAGGTAATTTTTTTATTAAAATTTTTATTAAAAACTATAAGACCCACAGCCTATCACAACCTAACAAACCATTTCATTCTGATGAGGAATTCAGAGGTACATCTTAGTTCAAGTGTGCTTTGCTGCAGGTCCACTGACGCCCATCATGGGACAGGTTGTGTCTAGGCAGCATATGCCAAGATCACCCATCTCCTGTCCTGCTTTGATTCTTCGTGGTCAGCTTCATTCTTCGTTAGCTCTCCTCCCTGGCTTCTGGGTCCTGTGTCCGAGGCATCTTTTCCACTTCTGAGGGTCTCACTGCATCTGTTTGGGGTTGGTGTGCCATGAACTCACCCCTGAGTTAGTGAAGTCACATGAAGAGGATACTCGATAGCCAGGCTTCACTTCTCTCACCACTGCTCCACCATCCTGACTTGTTGCTGTCAGGAATGTAAGAGTGTGCTAAGCGAGGACAGAGTAGGACTTAGAGACCCCTCCCAAAAGTATCCATGTATTTTTTTCCTAAACTGAGGGAGGGCTTGTCTAGAAAATAAATTATATTCAGGTGGACTGAACTGATAGTAGATTGGTGCAAAACCATGGAAAGTAGAAATGAGACCTAGGAAAATGCCAGCTGGAACCATAAGCATAGCAATTACAAAAGCGAGCTTCAGACTCCACTGAGTTGACCAGTGGCTGAGAGTCTAGTGCGTATATCTCTTTAACCTGCAGTGATTGCCATCACTCTTAGGAAAGTCCTGCTGCATGTGTATGTGTCTCTCTCTGTAGATCCAGTTACAGGACAGGTGTTGAGACTGCCCGGTGACTCAGAAGTTGTGTCTCCATGGCACCTAGATGTAGAGGGGGCGGTCGCTCTCCTCCTCCTCTCAGCCTAGAGTGCTTGGAGCCCGTCTTTCCGTATTCCACCTTCTCCATCTGAGTCTAGGGACTTGAGTTTCTTCTCTTTTGGAGACTTGAGAAATAATAAAGGTGTCTAAAATTAATGAGCTAGAAAGTACAAAAAAGTAGAAAAACCATGCATATGTCTGTGGGTTGTTTATGTCAGAACATTACAGGGAATGAGGAACACTAAAGGTTTTCTCTCCTTAAGAGGCAGTACTAATCGGTCCTGTTTGATCCTTAGGACCTAATAATTATACTGTTGTGTTTTTGACTGCCCCTTTGTAGTATCTGTAGCCTGGTCCATACTGGTTACTCCTACATGGCAAATAGCCTTGAGTCCATTGTGTGAGAGGTGGGGGCTGCTGCTCTTTCTGTTGGCTCTGTTACCCCATTTGCCTGTCGGGTGGAGTCTTGAGTCCGGTTTCTTCATTGGGTTTCTCTCCTTAGGCAATTCCCGTGATTCCTGCTTCTGTCCATTCTAATGTCCATTCTTTACCCCTTCATGCTCTTCTCTGTGCTTTAGAAAAATCAATTATCAATCAACCTATTCTCTCCGCAGCCTTTATACCCCATCTTTTCTATGTTACATTTATTTCTTAACTGAAAATGTGTTATTAGCATGTTCTTAATATGCCTCAGATGGTTATGGCTTTTATTTACAAAGAGCATTGTTTTTGACAAAGCAGATCTTAGCATGCAGAAACTGTTGCATGTAGTGAAACGCCAGGGTGCAGTGGAAGTCTCGAAAGAGGAAGGGGGAGGTTGGAGTGCAGGGTGCTGACACATATACAGGTGATGTTGACGTTTTGAAGGATTACATTGTTGGGGCCCACCAGGGTCACAGCTGTATGTGAGGTGTGTTACACAGTAGCAGGGACCTTGGGGCGTGGCTGACACAGCTGCTATAGGGACCTTCTGCTTCCTGCTCTCTTCTTGCGGAAGACTCTCATGGACTGTTTGCTGGTCAGAGTCTAGACAAGGTGTTTGTGCCTTATGTCCAAATAATTGAAAGTCAGAGCTTACACAGGTTTGCAGAAGAAACAAGCTAACTGTGTTTGGAGGAAAGGGAACCAAGTCATGGTGCTGGTTAGAAGGATACATTGTCCAGATGGATGGTGGCCATGGATGAGAGCGTGCAATGGGTTTCTCCTTTCCTTCCTCTTGTTCCCCTGCTCCTTAGCCTTCCTTTGGTAGCACTCATCTCTCCATTCCATTTGATTTCCTTTTTTGGACATAAGTGAATCTTTCCTTAAGCTTATCAGTGTTTATCCTTTTCCATTTTCATGGCTGACGACACGACCAAGTAATCTGGAATGACCTCTCTTCTCAGTGCTCATGTGTTTTAAAAGTCATGGTTTTCAACATAGCATTTGAGAGGTAGTGGACCTTATCAGAAGTGGGGCCCGTGGGGCGGCCTTCAGGTCCTTGGGGTGTGCTCTTAGAGGGGCTGGTGGGATCCTAGCTATCTCTCCATGTATTCTACAGTGTGTATTTATCATGGGCCCCAAAGCAGAGGGGAAGCCCACATAGATGGAAACATTCAAAGCCTTCCTTCCTTGCTAGTTTCTTCTCTGATGGAGTGCTAGCCAACACCCCCAGTGAAGCTTGAGCCTATGTCTTTCCCTCAGTGACTGGATATATTTCCTCAGCCATCTTCCGCTCACCTTTGGCAGTTTCTTAGACCCCCCACATCTGTTTTCCAGTCTCTGAGATACGGGTTTATTACTCAGGCCCATGATAGAGTGTGCTGTGTCCTCAGTGAGTGGAACTTCACAGTACGAGGCATACCTAAGGAGTAGCCTTCCTAAAGACATGCTCCCTCTTCAATTGAAGCACAGTGACCAAACTAACCTTAAATCATTTCAGAGTGCATTGAAAATGGATATGCGAAGTTCATGGTGATAAATCTGAACAATAACAGACAGCACCTGCCTCTTATTGGGAAAGTTGGCCTTGCATGGAGAACTACTATTTTTAATGGCTTTATTGAGGTAAAAGCAAAAGTTTTTTTTCTTCAAGTAACTTTATGTGTAATAAAAAAAAGTCTGTTAATGTGTATGTATGACCCTCCCTTAAAGTATTCTGGTTTCCGTAGATTTGTGAATTCTTTTGTCAGAATGGTATCTTCATCAAGCATTTATTTAATGTTTTACATTGGTTACTGTTCTATTGCCTTGAAGAGACACCATGACCAAGGCAGCTCTTATACAGGAAAGCATTTGGCTAGGGTCTTGTTTATGGTTTCATGATCATCATGGTGAGCAGCAAACAGGCATGGCACTGGCACAGTAGCAGGGAGCGTGCATCCTGATCCACGGGCAGAGAGAACCAGGCACTAGGTCTGCTGTAGCCTTTGAAACCTCTAAGCCCATCGCCAGTTCACATCTCCTCCAGCAAAGTCAGACCTCCTAATGCTTCCCAGCCAGTTCTACTAACTGGGGACCAAGCGTTCAAACATATAAGTCTGTAGGAGCCATTCTCACTGAAACCACCACAAATGCCTGTGTTGTCCACGGAGTGTATTGGAGAAGGATGGGCAGGTAGACTGTAGCTATGTTTGGATAGTTCCGACTGTACCTCTATTTCCTCACACACTCAATCTGTCCGGTGGAAGAAGAGGGGAGCTGAAAGTTGGCCAGGCAAGTAGCATTTGCTGAAAACGTACATTTTCACTTATTTGAAGGCTGCACAGTTATGAGTTCCTATTCCAGTTTTAAGGATCTTGATCAGCTAAATGAACATAGCTAAATGATGGGGAGTGGGGAGAGTTGGTTTACTGATAGGGACTGTCAGGAAAGGAGGGGAGAGAAATTAGGAGATTTCCCACGGTTCCATTCTCTTATGTGACTGTTGCCGTGGTTACCGCTTGTTCTCTTTCCTGGATGGCATGAGTGGAGTCTGGGAGCCACAGGTCGGCTGTGGCTGCAGGTGCCTCTGCACTGTGCTCGGTTTGCCCTTTGGTGTGGATGACAGTGACCAAGTCCAGGGCCGGGCTCAGGGGAGCCTGATCTTCTGAACCATTTGGGATTTGCTGTTCATCTGTGAGCAGATCTTAAACCTTGGTAAAAGGTTTGAATGTCATTTATAAAAGATTATTGTTTTATATCTTTGAGTACAAACGTGAACTTTTGTCTTTCTGTGATAGACCGAAATGGCCATGATGTAAAAACACATGAAAATAAAATATTAAAGTTAAAAATAGACCTTGAGGACCAAGAAAGGCAGAATATAAATATGGCAAGCGTAAAGGGTCTGGGTAATTTTAAAGTTATTTAATTCTATTTTTCTTCACAGCAAGATCAAAGCAGGTGTTTAGTTCTCTGAGGTTAAAAAGGGAAGTCTGGTAATTCTACCATGAGACAAAGCCTTACTGTAGCTCTAGCACTGAAAGCAAGTCTCCCTGGAACTGCACGTAAGGAAAACTCAACCCTAACCCTGAGTCCTTCAGCAACAAGTGTTCCAGGGACTTCTGCAGCATTTCCAGAAGAGGCTGCACTGGGAGCTGCAGAACCTGACCCCCCAGCTCAGGGCATGGTTTCTGTAGGTTGCTCCATGTAAAGGCATGATCCCATGTCTCCGAAGTAGGGGCAGTGGCTCTGGAAAGTTTCTCCAGCAATACATTTTCTCTCAGGGAAGAGTTTCTTGTCTCTCTTGAGTTGGAGGTCAGATGGATCTGCACATGCCATTTCTATATAGAGCCAGTATTAAGTATTTTGGCTAATTTATCTTTGTAGCTCCTAAAGAATGTACCCAAGTGAGGGACACTGTATTCCATGTGTTTGCCATCGCTCAGGGTTTCTCTCCAGGAATCTGACCACCCTAAGCATAGTGAACAGTAAGAGTGCAACTTAAGTAATTAGCTCTCTGGGATTTAGCCTCTTTGTTTTGTTTAAGGAAGGACATAAGGTAGAAAAAGGCTTTAGCTGGATATGCTTGTCCATGTCTTTACCTCACACACCGGAGAAGCTAAAACAGGAGGGTAACAGCCAATATAAGGCTAGCCTGGACTACAGAGTAAGGCTCTGTGAGAAAAATAATTCTTAGTCACACATGCCTATGAAGAATAGAAATGAAAGATAATCTCTCCTGCCTGGGATTGTAGATATAGCCTTCTAATGTGTAAAATGACAAGGCATGAAGGAAAAACCAAAAGAAGACATAAGAAATGGATCACCAAAAGAAATCCATAAATGAGATTTTGATAGGAACAGAGACAGACAGATTAGGATATATGTCATTGTGAATTATACTGAACACCCCAGTAAGACTAGCTGACACAGACCTGACTGTCCACACCACTGCATAAGAAGCATGGTGACTGACCCTAGAGCACTGTCATGTGCGGGTCACATGACATTCAGACACTGAAATCATCTGAGGCATGTTCCTACCACCATCTCCTTGTCAAAAGGAAAACTGATCTTTGACATGCGAATTGAACTTCCACCACCAAGATGTGTGAGTTCCTGGCCGGGCTCAGGATGCTCCCCCTACATCATGACCAAACCAGCAAGTGTTAGCTCTAAGAGACCAGTGCTTCCTCATGGGAACTGTGAAGCCCAGGCCATCAGAGACCTCTGTCAAGCTCACAGGTCACTTCAGAAAGCAACATAACAAAGCGTTGCTTTGTTCTTTGAACAGGACCGGATGTGGGTGACACACTATCGGTACTTACCCTTATCAACGTTTCACACATTAGAAGACCCTGTCCACAGTTCCTAAGCAAAAATGTTATGGGAGCCTTAAAATTTTAGCCTTTAAGGCTTTCATTTAGGGTTCAATTAAAGAAGCCACAATAAGCTAAATGGGCGCTAAAAGCCTGAGGATAACATCTGAGGGGTAAGAAATCTGCTCAACAGGTTCTGTCTGTCCCTGTGTCCTCGTGCTCTTCTCTTCCTCTTCAATCCACCATTTCTTGTCCCTTCTTGTTCTCCCTTGTTCTACCCATTACAAATGTTCCCAGTCATATATACCCTTAAAACCAGTAATTCCCCAGCCCTAGCAAGTTCCAGGGCCAGACTTCTTTTTCCCCATAGAAAACCCTTATCGGTTTATTTTCAGTAAAATTATGAATAGGGCATGGATTGTATTATAAACCAGCATGCCGCTTCTTATCTCCCAGCATGCATAGATGCTACCAGTTAATGAGGTAAACCTACGAAAACAGCCAGGGGGAAGCTGCTGGCTCTTGAATCTGATAGCACATATACCAGACATTGTAATACGGGCTTAGATTTACTGTTCTAAGTGAAGAAGAGACCCAGGCCTCTAAATTATCAGTTCCAGGCTATGCTGTTATCAGCCATTCTGATCATGGGTCTTTCTCTGGGCTGCAGTTGATTATCTCTTCTGCTGTCCTTGAGAGTAAAACCCAAGCAGTACATTTCCTGAACTAAAATCATCAGTAAGCTGGGGTGATGAGCATAAGGAGTTTGGGGTCTTTTATGTGGGTATAACCTCAGCAGCAGTTTGGGCAGGTGGTCATTCTGTGTCCTTGGAGATCTGTGACTATCTTAGATGGAACACTCTATCCCTAAGCACCGACCAAAGGCCTGCTGATAAAGATAATTGAAGGAAGGCAGATCTCTGCATTTACCTAGGGGAGAGGAACCGAGGCCTGGCAGTGGGAAACTCTTTTCACCAAATAGTTCTGAACTGTGGGAATCAGTTCCCAAATATGTACCAAAAAGAGAGTTAGATACAGAGAAAATCTACAGCAAAGGACAGCCACTTATTCATAAAAAGCCTTGCTTTTTGGTTTAGCCTTTATCAGATCCCTTGGTTCTGAAAAGATGGCTGAGCAATTACTGTATAATGTTGAAGCTTGTAGCAAAAGAGATTCTTTTATTTCTAATAGTCATATGTGACTACAAGCCTTACACTGTAGTCCTGGCTTAGACATCCACATAGAGCTTAGCATCAGTTTGAATTTACCCAGACCAGACAGGACTAGTGGTGGGCTGCAGGTGTCTGGTACGGGGCAAGAGGAACTAGGGTGGCACCAGACTTCAGACAACTGGTGGTCAGTGGTGCTGCTCCGGTGCCCAAGGTGCAGCTCTCTGGCAGATTTTTTGGGATGAGCATGGGTTTGAATAAATTATGCTAAACATGATTGACCTTTGTCATTTTGTTGAGCAAGAACTTGGATATTTAGTTTTTGAACCTGAAAGAGGTTTAGCCTGGAGGTACATATTGGAAGTCATGGATACCTTGATTATTATGAGTTGTGGATGTAGACAAATTCTGTCTAGGGAGAGAATGATTATATATAATAAAACCTGTGCTTTAGGTCAAGCTGTGAGGACCGCTATTAGAATTGCCTGGTGGAAGCTTTGCACCAGGTTCTAGAAGTTCTGGGAAGGTTATATTTGAAGCAAGGAATGCTAAGCAGTGCTGAATCTGTCCAGTGGAGACTTGACAGATGCTCACTGTGTTTAGAGATCTTAGGAAGAGGTGGGATCAGAGTGGGTTGAAGTGTGAGCAGAAGGTAAGGCTTTGGACACAGGCAAGATAGGTCTGCTTGCGGAGGAAAGAGACAGCAAGTGTTGCTTAGGCTCTGGGAGGTTTATTTCTCTCTGTGTGTCTGTCTGTTTGTCCCCTCTCTCTCCTCCCTCCCTCCCCAGAGTCACTTGAACAAGTCTGAAAGTTAAAAACTGATGGAAAAGGGACAGTACTTACTGTGTCAGAGGCTACCTCCTTGTTGGTGGGCTACACTAAAACCCACCCGATAAAACCACACTTAGCACAGATGTACAAGTAAGGAGAGGGTGGGGGACATAGTTGTGTATTTGCTGTTGGGAAGAGGGAGGTGCTCTTCTCACATCTATGTGTCAGGAGTGCATGCTGTGCAGGGGCACCTGTGAGTAGGGCACAGAGGGTCATGGGAGAGGATGAGGATGCCAGTTCAGGGAGGAGAGAGGCTGTCCCACAATGCGCAGTAGATTCAAAAGACTTCTGAGCATGTCATGGCTCCCTGGGGATAGCTCTGTCTGTGACTCTGCCGGCTCTGCTGCTGTTCAGGGCAATCAGATCCAGAAACGCATGAGATACCTCAGCTCAGGCACAGCTCGGTTTCAGTAGATCTGGAGCCAAAGGGAGATAAACTGATGAAGAAGTCGATTCAGTGAAGAACAGTGAAACAGAAGTGATTGAGATGAGGCCTGAGGAGAGTTAGAAGGCTGGTAGGTTAGAGGTCATGGGCCATGATGTTCCCCAAACCTTTTCAGACACACAAACATGTATGCAATCACACATACTCCTGTTATCTAAGCAAAATTTACTAAGCTAGTGTTGTTTGTAATTTCTCCTTATAACACATAGTTGTGCCTCACAACATGTGATTCAGGATGCAGTGGCTTACAGTGACGAAATTCTGGCAAATATGTGGTCTCGTGGCCTGGGAACCAGGAGTAGCTGAGTAGAGACAGTGAAGAGACGAGCTAGAGGCAGGGCCCACAGTGTTGATTCAGGAGGTCAGACCGTGGGAGTGAATAACCAAGGTGAGGTTGATGGCTAGATACAGGAGTTAGATAGCCCAGGACTGAGAGTCTGTTCCTGGATCCACTAGCAGTTGGTATCACTCAGGAGATGGTGAGACCTGAGAGAGCCAATGAGGGGGAGCCCACAGGTGGATCGAGATCCTAGTGTCGGGAGCAGTATAAGCCAGAGGATGGTGGACAACAGAGAAAGGAACACGAGGCCAGCGTTGGAGAGCTGAAAGTTTGGAGCCGCAAAAGAGTGAAAGGTGACAGTCCGGCCGAGTATTGAGAAGCTGCTGTCCAGGGCAGGGTGCCACCCTCTTAAGCAATGGCACAGGCCTCTCTTGTGGAAGACCTGTGGCCTCTAGCCAGGCTCCAGCACTGACAGCTCCTTATGCGCACACGAGGAGGAGCACGTGCAGAGGAGGTCTAAGTGCTGACTGGGTTTGGATAAAGTAGGCCCTATGATGTGCATAAAGCACTTTGGAGTTGGATGCCACAAGCAGCCTTTCCAGTCAGGTTCACAGAGTCACGGTGCCTGTGGAAATGAGCCTGCTCTCCTGACGCTTGTGAATCTTCATTACAGAATTGCTCTTTCATGGACCTGACTGTTCTGGAAGAGTACAGGAAGCCCTTTTGGTGTGTGACTTCTCCAGTGCACTTGAGGTCTGCCCCCCACCCCTCTGACGGTCCTCATTTCCAGGGGCACACTTACTATGTGGACTACATGGACCCAGAAGGAGGAGTGCATGCAGAGCTGTTGTGGATCGAAGAGACAGAAGAATACTTCATTGTCAGCCTTGTCCTTTACCTCAGTGTAGCAAAAATAAACCATTGGTTTGGGACAACATACTGAGTTTTAGAAATAGGTGGCAAAGTCTTGTTATTATGAGGTGTTTATTTTTTATTTTTACATTTTTGTTCTTATTGAAAGTTAAAATAAAGCATACCCACAGCAGTCTGTCTGGTGTCTTCTTATTTTCCATTAACGACTCTGGTCTTTGAGTAAAGTGTTTAGAAGATTTCTTTAGCTGTAGTAGACTTAGATTGCTCTTGGATAGGTGTGAGCTGCAGAAGCCACAGGCAGACAGGCACACTCAGCACTACCATGCTGGAGACAGGTAGGGTTTGGCCTGAAGGGCAAGCAGTAGGGTGCCTAGGAAGGTGCGCTGCCTAGAAGAATGCACCACAAGACTCCTGAGTAGTGGATCTCATGTGCTAACCATGGCTGAAGCACAGAGCCAAGGCTCGGCTGTCGAGAGGTAAAACAGACGGAAGGAACAGCTGCTGATGAGCAGGGCCTCAGTCAGTCGGAGCTGGTGAGTGCCAGCCTTGGTCAGGCCAGACTTCAGCTGGGGAGCCAGTGTGTTCCTTCTGGAAGTCGTGTAGAGGAGAGCTCATGAAAGGGCATGTTTATATCCTGAAGAAATGCCTGTAGGGTCAGGTCCTTGCCTCATCCATCCAGGGCTTTGCTCGTTGCTTGCTTTACCCTCTGGTTTCTGAGTGATCATAAAAAGGACTCTGCATTTTACCAAATGTTGGCAGAGGCTGCTTGTTTGTTCCTGGCCACCCATACCCAAAATAATCACAGAAACTGTATTATACACTGCTTGGCCAATCACTTAAGTGTATTTCTAGCTAGCTTTTATATCTTAAATTAACCCATTTCTATTATTTTATATTTTATCATGAGGCTCATGATTTACCGGTACTGGCACACGGGTGCCTTTCTCCTCCAGTGGCTACTTGGCATTTCTCTGACTCTGCCTACTCTCTCTATGTATCTTTTCCAGCCTGGCTATATTCTGTTAAGCCATTGGCCAAAAGCAGCTTCTTTTGTTTGTTTGTTTGTTTGTTTGTTTTTGTTTTTTGGATTTTATTTTTTTATTTATTAAAAATTTCCACCTCCTTCCCTCCTCCCATTTCCCTCCGACTCCCCCAACTTCCCCTCCCCTCCCTTTCCAGTCTTAAGAGCAGTCAGGGTTCAAGTCCAAGGTCCAACCCCTTCCATCCAGGACTAGGAAGGTGAACATCCAAACAGACTAGGCTCCCACAAAGCCAGTCCATGCAGTAGAATCAAAACCCAGTGCCATTGTCCTTGGCTTCTCAGTCAGTCCTCATGTCAGCCACATTCAGAGAGTCCGGTTTGATCACATGCTCATTCAGTCCCAGTCGAGCTGGCCTTGGTGAGCTCCCATTAGATCAGTTCCACCATCTCCATGGGTGGACGCACCCCTCACGGTCCTGACTTCCTTGCTCATGTTCTTCCTCCTTCTCTTCATTTGGACCTTGGGAGCTCAGTCCAGTGCTCCAATGTGGGTCTCCAAAAGCAGCTTCTTTATTAATCAATGGCAATAAAATAACAACATACAGAGGGGAATCCCCCATCACCTCCCCATTTTCTGTCTAAATAAAAGGTTTTAACTTTAACCTACCAAGATTACATACAACAAAATAGTTATCAGGCAAGAATTATAGTTAAAATATTTCTATCTCCTTTATCTTTTATGACATCATGATGCTGCTAGAACTACTTTAAGATTGTTTTTGGGTACCAGCTGCTAAAATGATTCCAAATTGGTTAGCTGAAATGGTGTACCTTCTTACAATGTTATGGCCAAAGCTTCAAATAAGAACTTCAAAAAAGCCCTACCGAATACTCAGAGACTATCTGCAATTATACTGGACAATAGTCTTGATACTTAACCATCGTTTTAGTTTTATAGGATCCCATAGAAAGAACATTGCCCCCAAGACAGCTGGAAGCAATTCTAAAAGACGATGTCCCCTCTCCCAACACTTTGTTCTTAGAGTTAGGGATATCAATTAAGGGTTGATTATAATTAGTATAGGGTTGAGGGTTGGGGTGGAAATTATGTAGGCTCAGGAGTCTTCTTGAAAAAAAAAGGGAAATTTGATGGGCTAATAGGTAGATTAGTGTGAGCTTACTCACACTAATAATAGTAGTGAGCTATTATTTATAGATAATTTACATTTGTATAGATTCTTGTATATTGATACAGATTCAAATTATATTTGTTATATTGAATATACTCCTATTTCTGTTTACAACATTTGTACACCTAAGCAAAGTTATTTTGTCATATTGCATACATGCATGCTTCTACCTCTGCTTAAGACATTTTGTATATTGATACAATTTTAAGATATATTGATCATATTACACTGTATATTTTTACCTCTGATCAAGAAGATACTTATATGTTGTTTCCATTTTGAGGTCATTGTCAGCATTTGCTGCGCATTTTTCTAAGATTGTTTAATATTCTAATATGAAGCCTTACTCTTTAAGCTGTATAAGTATTAAGAATTATAGGCCAATAGTCATCCATGTCTGTCATACTTACAGCTAGACTAATCAAGTTCTTTAGATACATAGAGATTGTATTCCACATAGATAAGTAATCTTCATGCACTTCAAAGAGCTGTAGAATATGGCACTTAAATAACTTAGGGTTCTGTGATGTTAGACACAATTGCTCCTGGCAGCACTGATCTATTCCCGAGAGAATGTTGGGCACTGAAGACACTCCATTTGGAGCTTGTTTTCTTCTTAGCAAAACTGACCTTTGGGCAAAGAACTGCCCCTGCCTCCACCACTGACAAAATGCATGGTATACCAACTGGACAAGCAAGATACAAGAGAAAAGACTGCCAAACCTTGTCAAGACAAGGTAAGACCTGAAATTTTTCCTGCCTCTGAAAATGACCTCTTAGTTACTCCAGGCCTTAGCCAAAATTGGCTGTTCCAACATTGCAAATGAGACTTTGGGTGATTGCCCAGGTAGCCAGTTAGTTGTCTCTGTCATTTATTGTACATTTTGGAAGTTTCTTGGTTGTACTTCCTGCTTACTCAAGTAATACTATTTCCACTTCTTGGGTCTTCCATTGGGTTGAAGACTAGATAGTTGTAGTTACTTTCCTCTTATGACTTGGCCAAGTTATTTATAATACAAGACTTAAACTCATTATGATAGGATAATTATTGAAACATTTATCACTTGTTTCTTGCTTGATATTGTTTGTGCTGATTGTAATTCTAATTTTTATGCTTGTTATTTGTTCTTATTGTATATAGTTTTGTATTAGGCTTAGAATTCCCTTATTTAGACAAAAGTGGGAAGTGCTGTGGGAACTCCTTCAGCCAGTAGCCTTTAAGATACCAGCCCACTTGGGTGTTGTTTCTTATACTATAAATGCAGCCATAAAGCTCTCTCTCTCTCTCTCTCTCTCTCTCTCTCTCTCTCTCTCTCTCTCTCCCTCTCTCTCTCGGCTGTGACTTCTGGATTTGGTTCTTGTTCCCCATTCCTACAGAGGACTGTGGTTTGTGAGTCTACCCCTAAATAAAGAACCCTTTATTATGCTCAGTTCTGAGGTAGTGTGGGATTACTTTATAGCGTCCATCTTCAACCAAAGGCCATGTGTGTCTACTAGTTAACATATGTGCTTGCCATAATGAAATGGGATGCACTCATCTCCCTGGGACTAATCACTAAAGTGCTCTCAGAAGTGAGATAAAACACAGGTGATTTCTCATTGACAAGGTTGCGGGATGGGGGAAGAAAATAAAAATTTCACTGTGAAGAAATTGTAGCTTTCTGTGTTAATGATGAGAGCTTATGGTGCACCAGGCAATAGCATTGTTCCCCACAGCGCTGCAGATCTCCCTAGACCTATGGGGAGATGATACAATAGCGACACTTGACAAGGAGCTCATCTGGGAAGTTAAATACCTCGAGGAGAAGAGCACATCTGGTGCTGAGAGTTGGGATCTCCCTGGTCCTGAGGCATGGGCCCAATCAGATCACTAAACCATACTTCTGTCTGCTCTGGTGCTGGGGGGCCAAAGGTCTGTCCTGAACATTACCGTGCACGACATTGAAGTGCACAAGTCTTTAGCAGAGTTCTGAAGTGTTGTGCAGCTGACTGAGTAGTAAGCTTGCTGAAAGAATCGTGTTGTATAGAGCTGATTCCATTAACACAGACCTGAGAGTTCCAGGTAAAGAATCGTGTTATATAGAGCTGGGTCCATTAACACAGAACTGAGAGTTCCAGGTCAGAGCTTGGAGTGGCGACTTTCTGAATTCTGCGTTTCCCTGTAGGTAAGAGAAGGACAGAGCAGAACTCAGAATGGACGCATGATTGTGGCAAAAGTGAGTCACTTTTAAATAGATTGCATGGGGTTAGCTGTGGCAACATCTGAAGGAGGAACACCTACTTCATGCCGTGCCCAAAGGCATGTTCCAGGTCGGTTATAGGCCCAAACATGTAAAGCAAAGCCAGACAGCACCAAGAAGACAATGTGGGCAGCCCCAGCTCTGCAGTGAATGGCAAACTGTCTGCATAAAAGGTAATCAAAGCAGCTGGGAAGACGACTCAGTGGGTGAAGTATTTTCTTTTCAAGCATGAGAACCTCTGATGATAGCTCTTGCCGAATATTTCTCTTCACACTGGGCCAACTTAGAGCCAACATCTGCCTCTCAGAAACTTGGGGAAACTATGAATCAGCAGTCGAATCCCCACTGCAGATACATAAAGGTTTCTAATTGCACCTGGTACCACTTCAGCTCACAAAGGAGAAACCGGAGGCAGGTTCCAAGTCATCAGGAAGCAGTTGTTCAACTCCTTACGTTCCCTTCTGGGCCCACAGTGAAGGAAAGCCTCTCCCACCCCCCACAATCCTCGCTAGTAAAATTTAACCACATTTAAGTCAATAAAGCTTCACATAGGATCATGAGGTCTAGAGAAAGAATGGTTACTTAAAAACATGCTCAGTGGAAAATATTGATGAAATTGATAGAGATCAAATAAATTAACCAAATCTATTGTAAAATTTATATTATATATAATAGCTTATAATATATATTACATATATGTATATTTTATATAACACACATACATATATATTTTCTATTGCATGCTATTTACTTACGTGTTCTAGGAACCAGGTCAAAGAATTTTGTTGCTTTAATGGTATTTAATGTTGCTATGATTCTGAGAAAGATGTTTTATTAAAAAATAGTCTAAACATCCTCAGGATGAAGATGGTGAGGTTAAGAATTACTGAACCCTTTGTATTTATTTGAAATGCCAAGTACTTCTTAAGTGTAGTGTGCTTTAACCTAAGTAAAAATTACATATTTTTCAATAGACAGAATAATAACCAAATAAATACAATTGGATTTGTTCAGGTCATAAGATTATGAATTTTTTTACTTTTAATT